CCCTAGCCCTATTTTTCTATGTGTATTAACTATGGCATGTTTTTCAGTCCTCCTTAGTCAAAAGTCAGTCCGGCACCTGGCAAGGCAGTCTAATTGTGAAAACTGTCCCGGTGTGCAGTGCCGTTTCCTTGCTGTATTTTTATCAGTAGTTATTACGTAGGTAGAGTAACAAGGTAGGGGACATATTTTCCTTCTAAAATACATGAAAAGAACAAATATTTTATGTGTCACTTTTTAAAGGTTACAGTCGTCTTCATCCCTTGATGATTCAAGTTCAACAGATTTAATGAAAGATACTCACACTGTAAACTGCAGACATGTAAGTACGCTCGTAAATGATAATACCCATAAAATAAATGAACAATAACATTTGCTCCTTGTAGATTGTTTCTTTTGAGAAAAGAAGTCATTCTATAAAAAAATAACTCTTTCAGGCCATTCAGTGTTTTTTATGTGGTAGTGCCAAATAGTGGTTAAGAATGAGCTGTTGGAAGCGTAGTATCTAGGTCCAAGTTAGACTCAGATAGTTACTGCTATATAACCTCAGGCTTGTTACTTTCTTTTAAATTTCAGATTATGGGAGTGCAGGTGTTTAGGTTACATGAATTGCTTTTGAACTGTTTGTCTCAAAGTTGTAAGTGTGCCCATCACCCAGAAAGTGTTTATTGTATCCATTAGGTATAAATTTACCCCTCCCTTTGTGCCCCCTCCCACCTGATTGCTTTCCATGAAGTTGTACTAGTCAGATGTGCACATGGGTGTTGATTGATTAGTTCCAATTTAACAGTGGTGTTTGTTTTTCCATTCTTGTGGAACTTCACTTAGAAGAATGGTCTCCAGTTCCATCCAGGTTTTTACAAACAGTACTAGTTCACCTTCTTTTTTTGAGACAGAGTCTCACTATGTTGCCCTAGGTACAGTGCCGTGACATCACAGCTCACAGCAACCTCAAACACTTGGGCTTAAGTGATTCTCTTGCCTCAGCCTCCTAAGTAGCTGGTACTACAGGCACCCACCATAATGCCTGGCTTTTTTTTTTGCAGTTTTTGGCTGGGGCTGGACTTGAGCCTGCCACTCCAGTATGGGGCCGGCACTGTACTCCTTTGAGCCACAGGTGCCGCCCAAATGCCTGGCTATTTTTTGGTTGTAGTTATCATTTTTGTTCAGGCCCAGGCTGGTTTGAACCTGCCAGCTCCAGTGTATGTGGCTGGTGCCCTAACCACTGAGCTATAGGTGCCGAGCCTAGTTCACCATTTTTTATGGCTGAATAATACTCCATGATACATATCTGTATGTCTATATCTATATCTATATATATATACACACACACACACATATATATTATATATATATATGTGTGTACATATGCCACACTTTATTAATCTGTTTATGTATTTATGGGCACTTGGGTTGATTCTACATCTTTGTGATTGTGCTGCAATAAACATTTGAGTACATGTGTCTTTTTAATAAAATGACTTTTTTTCTTTGGGTAAATACTAACAGTGAGATTGCCGGATCAAATGGTGGGTATTTTTACTTCTTCAAGTTATCTCCATATGACTTTTCAGAGGTTGTACTAGTTTGCAGTCCCACCAACAGTGTATAAGAGTTCCTATCCCTCCAGCTCCACACGAGCATCTTTTGTTTTGGGATTTTTGGATAAAAGCCACTCTCATTGGAGTTAGGGGAGAGCTCAGTGTGGTCTTCATTTCCATTTCCCTGATAATTAGGACGTTGAGCATTTTTTCATGTTTATTGGCCATCATCTGTCTTTTTCAAAAAGCTTCAGCTGATGTTTTTGCCTGCTTTCTGTTTGATATTTTTCCTTGCTGATTTGCTTGAGTCCTTTATAGATGCTGGTTATCAGCCCTTTTTCGGATGTAGAGCATTATTTTCTCCCATTCTGTAGCCTTTTCCTCTATTGATTGTTTCCTTGGCTGTGCAGAAGCTTTCTAATTTAATCAGGTCCCATTTGTTAATTTTCCTTGTTGCTGGGATTACCTTTGGGGTCTTCATCATAAATCTTTGCCTAGGCCAGTATCCTCATACTGCTATCTGATCTTCTACAAAACAGTGATATATGCCAGAGAAAAGAATCCCTACTATTCAATAAATGGTGCTGGAAAATTGGACAGCCACATGTACAAGATGGAAATAGGATCTGAAGCTCTCACTACTCAGAAAAATTAATTCATGATGGATAATGAGTAGACTTAAAACTAAGGCATGAAACTATAAGAATTCTGTGAGAAAATGTCCATTCCATTTCCCTGATAATTAGAACATTGAACATTTTTTCATATTTATCTGTTTTCTTTTGAAAAACTTTAGTTGATATTTTTGCCCACTTTGTTTGATTTTTTTTCTTGCTGATTTGCTTGAGTCATTAATAGATCCTGGTTATCAGCCCTTTTTCAGATGTCTAGCATTATTTTCTCCCATTCTGTATTCTTTGTGGTTGAAAGAAAAGTTTAAATAATATGAGCCACAGGATAAATATATACTATTTGAGTCATTTGAACAAATGCTAACTTCTGAAATGCATATGCAGAAATGACTAAAATTAGTGCTATCAGGAAGACTAAAATATTTTATATTATAATTCTGATACGGTACAGATAAAAAGCCCTTAAGTGGGCATAGAAATTAAGTGGTACAAAAACACAGGAGAAAGAGGAATTTCATCTAACCAGGGCCAAACAGAAGTTTGAAAATGCAAGGTATCATACATGTTTTTACACAAATATCATATATCTTCTGGGCTATTTATTTATTCATACTTTAGAAAATGTTTGGCTCAGTGCCTGTGGCTCAAGTGGCCAAGGCGCCAGCCACATACACCTAAGGTGGTGGGTTCAAATCCAGCCCTGGCCCGCCAAACAACAATGATGGCTGCAATCAAAAAAATAGCCAGGCATTGTGGTGGGCGCCTGTGGTCCCCGCTACTTGGGAGGCTGAGGCAGGAGACTTGCTTGAGTCCAGAAGTTGGAGGTTGCTGTGAGCTGTGATGCCACATGACTCTACCCAGGGGGACAGCTTGAGGCTCTGTCTAAAAAAAAGTAAAATTAAATAAATAAAAGAAAGAAAATGTTTATTGAAGAGGTACCCATATCGTGCTAGGCAATATGCTAGAAACTGATTTAAGTTGTAGTAAACAAAAATGTCTTTAAGTTGGGTACATTCTGTGGGCATTCCAAAGATACAAGCACATCAATTTAATCTGACAGTGTAGATAAATGATGTCTTGCTTTATGTGCTACATTGATTATTAGATTGTTTGGTGTGTAACTTTGTAACAGTGTAAGAACTTTTTGATAAAAGGATCTGATCTAATCTCCTCCTTACCCTAAATACTCTAAAGCAGTATTTCCCATAGTAGTTTCATGTGAAGTATAGTTTTGTTGTCATTTTTTAAAGACTGAAATAACCTTGACCTCAGGCATTTGTGGTCATGAACTTTCTCTTCTTAATCTGAAACTCCTCCTTAGATTGTTACTGTAGTTATTAAGAATGTAGACTTGCATTAATGTACACAGCTATGATTTAATTAAAAAAAAAAAAAAAAGAATGTAGACTTGAGTTCAACACCTTGGGCAAGATATTAGCCTCTCTTGAGGCTTCAGTTTCATGACCTGTTCAAGATTTAAAAAGTGGCATAGGTGATGCCTGTGGAGAGTTTGGCACATAATCCTCAGTAAGTGTAGCCTGCACTGATGATGTGCGGGGGGCCCTGGCCATAGGCTGCATCTTACAGCAGCTGCAGGGTCTTTATTTCATTCACGTAGAAATCTCACTGTTTATTATTCTATCTTTTCAGATGTCAGACAAGGAGATGTTTCCTTTAAGTCCTTCTGAAATGCGGGAGCTAGAGGCTCCCAGGCCAAGCCAGAGTGCTGCTGCTGCCCACAGTCAAGAACCACTCCTCAGTAAGTTTTCTTTGGGAATTGCCTACCTGTTTAGTTTACCAAACATGCCCTCTTAATAACTGTGCTTTCAGACACAGGAGATTTCTAGAGAAGGAAATAGTTTTCAAAAACTTAAGATTTTTTTTTCTCCATTCAAAATTCTAAATACAAGCAGCGCCTGTGGCTCAGTGAGTAGGGCACCGGCACCATATGCCGGAGGTGGTGGGTTCAAAGCCAGCCCGGGCCAAAAATTGCAAAAAGAAAATTCTAAATATAATAGTCATACACTTAATTTTAAAATGATTGTTACGTAATGAACCTGTCATGAAGAATTCAATTATTACTGAAACAGCTATGAATAGTGCACAGTACACACACTTTAAATAAAACCATAATATTTCTTTTTTGAGACAGAGTCTCACTTTGTTGCTCTTGGTAGAATGCTATGGCGTCATAGCTCACAGCAATATCTAACTCTTGGGCTCAAACAATTCTCTTGTTTCAGCCTCCCAAGTAGCTGGGACTACAGGTGCCTTCCACAACACCCGGCTATTTTTAGAGGCAGAGTCTCACTCTATTTCAGGCTGGTCTCAAACCTGTGAGCTCAGGAGATTCACCTGCCTTGGCCTCCCAAAGTGCTAGGATTACAGGTGTGAGCCAGTGCTCCTGGCCATAAACTATAATATTTGTCTAAGAAAAAAGGTCCATTCTCAAGAAATACCAAGAATTTTTAAAGGATAAAATCCCAGTTTTAAGATGTAATCGTTCACTTTAAGGTGTCTGCAAAGTCCAAATCAAATAAATTGAAATGATACAGTGTCTCAGTCTGTTTGTGCTGCTATAACAGAATCCCCACAACCTGGGTGATTCATAGTGAACAAAAATTTATTTGGTTCAAGATTCTGGGGCTGGAAAGTGCAAGAGCATGGTGCAGGCCTCTGTATGCTTTACGTCCTGTAGTTTAAGACAGAAGGGCAAGAGAGGGTGAGAGCAGGAAATCAAGAGGTGGCCAAACTGGGTTTTATGACAAAGCCACTCCCACTATTATGACACGAATCCATTCATAAAGGAACATGACCTACTCACCTCTTACTAGGCACCACCTCTCGACACTGTTGCGTTGGAGATTAAGTGTCTAGCACATGAACTTGAGTGGACACATTCAAACCATTGTGTATGGTTTTGTATCACCCACAACTGATAGTGCTCTTTCTGAAAGGCATGTGTTAGAGAATCAGGAACTTCAGGCTATCAGCTTCACACACAGGTACACAGCCACACTGAAACATCTCAAATTCTACTGTACTTTGCCATCATTATCTGCATTTTATTTTTTTGAGACAGAGTCTCACTTTGTCACCCTAGGTAGAGCCCCTGGCATCACAGCTCAAAGCAAGCTCAAACTCTTGGGCTCACATGATTCTTTTGCCACGGCCTGCTGAGTAGCTGGGACTACAGGTGCCCCCAACAACGCCCAGCTATTTTTAGAGACGGGGTCTCACTCTGGCTCAGGCTGGTCTTGAACTCCTGAGCTCAGGAGATCCATCCTTTATCTACATTTTACCTCTTCTAACTTCAATCTCATTTCCATGGTTACGTGTTTCCTTTTTCAATCAAAAGTCTGGTTTATCCCCTTTTGTAAGAATATTTCCTGCTTTTGGAAGATGATGGTTTTATCTCAGCCTTCTCCTTGTGGTATTGAACAAATAGTTTTCTCAAAGGCAGATTAAAGCTAAATTTCTCTTTCCAGACTCTCTGCACACCACAGTCCCTAGCTTCCACCTCTCTGGGAGTCCACCCATTAGTGGTGTCCTTTTCTATTGGAAAACTTGAAGCCTGGCTCACTTCTGTGCATTAGATGAAATAAGGGCAATGTATCTGACAGCAGATTGTTATAAAAATAGGTGACCCATTTAAAAATATATACCAAGCTTCTGCAATTTAAGATATATACTTTGCCTTCAAAAATACATTTCATGGTATTCTGGCCTTGTTTTGCCATTTTTGATGGCAAAGTGATTATTTTTAACTGCCAAATGTGTGAAATGTTTGACTTTATTGATCACCTTTACTTACCTGGGCCTGTACTTTGATCCATAGGTGATGGTGCACAGCTGGATTTTGATGCCCTGTGTGACAATGATGACACAGCCATGGCTGCATTCATGAATTACTTAGAAGCAGAGGGGGGCCTGGGAGACCCTGGGGACTTCAGTGACATCCAGTGGACACTCTAAGCACTTGATTTTTAATTCTAAAAATGAGAAACATTTTAGAGCATTTCATTTACAAAAGAAAGCTATCTATTCTTCCGTACTGCATTGGCCCTGTTTTTTATCTTTTCTTTTCTTTCTTTCTTTTTTTTTTTCTTAATCAGGCCCAGGCAAGGTTCAAGCTCACCGCCCCCAGCTTGCCAGGCCAGTGCTCTAACTACTGAGCTATGGTGCCCAGCTTGTTTTTATCTTTTATTAATGGTCTACAAATTTTTATGGAGTTGCACCTTACTCTTGCAGGTGTGGAGAGATACATATATTTCCCTACCAAGAGAACCAAAATTTACTACAGATCCATTTACTCAGTGTAATGGCTTAAAATCCTCAAATTGCCATATTTTTCCTAAAATATTTCTAACTAAGAGTATCTTATACATATTGTTTTGGTTTTGTTTTTATTTTTGATGCAGCTTTTTGGAGTTTGAATAATGTAATATTTTGATATTTCCCTGTGTCTGAGATTCATTCGTAATAGATCCATAGTATGGGTTTGTGTATTTGAACATTTCTTTTCCTTGTATATTCCCTTTATTGAGGATAGGGCTACACACTTTAAGAAAATGGTAAGTACTTGAACTTTTAAAGGGACGGTGCAATTTATAGTCATAATGACAAGGAATGCCATATTCAATCTCTGTAGACTTGGGCAAGCAGACAGCCAGGATATCTGTGCTCAGTTAAGGATTTTAAGATGGATTTTAAGGGAGATGATTTCTTATTTAAAACTCAGAAAAAGCTGAAAGAGTTTCAGCTTTGCTTCCAGAAAAGGAAGAATCTTGGTGATTAACCTTTGCATATAAGGTTTATTCTATAATGTAACTACTCACAATTTTCACTATAGATAGATTTTTGACATTGAAAAAGTACTTAACAATAGATTAATCCTAGAAGAAAATATGGGCCCAGGCAGAGTAAATGTCTTGTATAGAGTCACCCATTCGATTCACATCTTTTTAATGTTTAAATGTGTACTTAACAGTTTCTTTATACACCTTTGGTAATGCAGTGGTCTCACTAGTTAAATGATGGATGACCTGACCCAAGAACTAGTTAATAGCCTTTTAGATTTGGCAGTTACAGTTTTTACTGCCTGTAACCAAAGGTAATAAAATAAATGGTAAGTACATTTTTTAAATCCCAAGGCAATGAGAGATAATTTAAAAAGGGATTTTCTAGTTACAATTAAAAATTTGAAGGGCACTTTTTATTAACAATCTGGAGGTGATTCAATTTTAGTGTAGAGATTAAGTTTATTTAAAATACTACATGTGTCTGCCTGCTTAGGGATGGCACTTTTATAAGTTTGTTTTAATAGGTCTTTATGGTTTACCGAGTATGTTCCTATTTATTCACTTTTGTGCCTCACGAGTGGGAAGACTGCAAAACTCACGGGGAAACTGCCAGGCTTCCATGTGGAGTTCAAATCCAGTTTCCTTTCTCTCTATGGTGCTACACCCTGCCAGCAAGTATCTCCCATAGAGCCCCTCACCAAGACAAAGTATCAGTTCTCCTGCTGGTTTTTTAGCTGTAGGTGATTGGAACTTCCATCAGACATTAACAATTAACATACCAAGAGGCATTAACCAAAAGCAAATTCTTCCTTCCAGTGGCTGTGTGGACAAGGATGTTGCTGGCACATCCCTTGAGCTGATGGTGCTCCAGCAATGCTGGAGGGTCAGCACCATTTCTGGTCTGACACTTGAGGACTTGAGTAACATCCAGGGTTAGATTAAGCTGGGGAAGAAAAAAAAAAAAGAAAGCTGTAAGATGGAGGGCATTGGTGTGCAGCAGCTCAAGCATTATAGTTAAGTCTGAAGAAGGATGAAAGATCCTATCTGTTCTCTAAGTCTGGCAGAGGCCTGCCTACCAATATACCTTTTAGAGAACTGAACTATTGCATGTACCTTAGCCAGTAGTAGCACAGGGTAGGTCAGTGTGGCTAGATGCCCTCAAAGCAGGAAGGGCCAACCCATATGATGCAGGAATTTGAGAGGCAGACAGACCAATGCTGCTTTGCACAGTAGCAGTTTTTCTTTTGCAGGAGGAGGGGTTACTACATGGGCCAGTGGGCAGATAGTCAATTGAATGCTCTGTGGGTGGTCTGAGCATTAGTTTACTCTAATATTCTTCTGCAGATCCTCTCATCCTGGACCCTGGATCCAGTCCACGTGTTGCTTACTTCCATGGCACTCTCAGTTTAGGATCTTCTCTAAAATGCATTCCTTTAACTAAATTTGATTGCTGTTAGAAGTGACACATTCTTATGGCTTATACTATATTAATTTTTTCACATAAGAATCAGTTCCTCAGATATGTGAGAAATATATCTACAAATGGCACAGAAGTATCATAAAAAGAGTATGCCATGTTTTATTTTTTTTAAACTCTTAAGAATTACCATTAGAGGCTGGGTGTGGTGGCTCACGCCTGTAATCCTAGCACTCTGGGAGGCCAAGGCGGGTGGATTGCTTGAGCTCACAGGTTTGAGACTAGCATGAGCAAAAGCGAGACCCCCATCTCTACTAGAAATAGAAAAACTGAGGCAAGAGGATCGCTTGAACCCAAGACTTGGAGGTTGCTGTGAGCTATGATGCCACTGCACTCTACCCAGGCAGGGCAACAGCTTGAGATTCTGTCTCAAAAAAAGAGACAATTACCATTATAATCATGTAGTGGAGTGGGAAAAGTGCCTAGAATCAGGAAACCCTTAGCTGTGTGACCTCAAGCAAGCCATTTAAACTCTCTGTGCCTCTGTTTCCTTATTTTAAAAAAAGAGAGAGAGAGATTGGATCTCTAAGTTTACTTCCACCTCTGATTCTCTGATTCTGATCCTCAGGACTTGAGCATGAATGAGGCTCCTGGAACTGTGCTGTCCAGTGCTATAGCCACCAGCCACATGGCTACTGAGCACCTGAAATGGGGCTGATACAAATTGAGATGTGTTGTAAATGTCAAATACCCACCAGATCTTGAAGATTTAGTATCGCAAAAAATGTAAACTATCACATTAACGATTTTATATTAATCATACGTTCAAATGATATTTTGGGTATACCGATCTAAATAAAACATTAAAATTCATTCTCCTTTACATCTTTTTCATTTAAAATTACAAATGTGGCTCACATCATATTTCTGTTGGACAGCACGGCTCTAGAGTATTTTATTATATGGGTATCATTGAAGTAGATCAAAAGGTATAACGGTATTTCTCTCCATACTATGTTTAAAGAACAATTATTTACTGATTCTTGACTTAGCAGGATCATATAACTGAGTCTCAATCCATGTACCAAATTTAAAACCTTTTTGAAAACGGTAAACTTAAATTGTTGTCAGGGATTTTATTACCTGGGGGTAGCCTGAAATCAAACAAAACTTGAGTTTATCTGATCATCGCTAAATTTGGAAATCTACTGAGAAAGACAGACAGACAGTAAATAAGTGAAGTTAAAGAGAAGTGTTTATTTACAGTACCACGACAGAAAAGGCTGTATTGGTTGTCATAGTCTTTGACAAATCTCTGTTCTGTAGAATCTGGGTCACAGGAATATGAAATGGCCCATATCGAGTTACCAGACTGTGTTTAGAGGTGTCCAGTTTCAGATCCTACTGTGAAGAGGCATCTGCCCCTCAGGCAGGTCATCACTGGCTTCTGGAATTGGAGACTTAGATTTGCCCAGCACAGGGTTACGGGCAGAAAAGGGCTGTGTGACATTTAGAGTTACCTAGAAGCCATGAAGGAAAACTGCTAAGTGCCCACTAGGGGGCGCGTCTCCCTTTCTACAGTGCTTTGTATCCATCAGCGGACTGCTTTTTCCAAGCTCCATAGAGCCTGTGAGAGGCATTTGAGACTTTTGTACCTAGAATAAGTCAGCCTGTCTGGTGTGCGTTGTTTTATGGGAAATGCTTTCCGAGGGAAGCCTAGGAAGATCTTTCTCACATAATATAAGCACATCGGCTTAGGGAGCTGTTCAGATGTGGCGCCAGTAAAACCTGACCTAGAAAGAAAACCTGTCCCGCATGGGATACGCTTTCTGAATGGGCTCCAGAGTGTACCAAGTGTGTCACTGCGTGTACATTCTTGAGTTTAGTCTTTTATACGGTTTTTAGCTCTTTTCCAGTTTACTTGATCTTGTCTGTACAGTGGTATTTTTAAAAGTTTGTGGTAAATGATGAAAAGAGTGAAATTAAATTATATTTTATAATAATTACTACATAGTCGTTTGTAGTTCTTTTTTTTTTAATTTAATAAACTTCCTCCAAAAAAAGAGCATGTCCTTAACTGCTTTGTAATGTGGAAACCTAGATTAGGGAAACAATCTCAAACCACTAGGCAGAGAGGTGTGTTGAACGATGTTACTGTGTGCATTTGGGGTGTGTTCAGCAGGGTACACTAAATGCTCTTACCAACTACAAAATCTCTCTGGTTTACCCAGTAAAGGTTTCTCTCCACTGACATCACTGTCACTGTCCTCAGCACTCTCTGTCCCTCCGACCCTCTCTGACTCTTCTTTCCACCTCTCAGCTTTGCTGTCCCCTGAGCTGGTTTTCTCCTCTGTGGACCTTTACCCCATAATGACATTCAGAAAAACCCAAGCATATATAGGGTATCTATAAAGTTCATGTGTTATTTAAAATTTTAGACTAATATTAGATTCTATTGTTCTTGTATCTGGCAATGTCAGTAGAAAGGGAGCTTCTCCGTTTCCTAGCAATTCACACAAATACATCCATTGATTGGGCCTCTAATAAGCTTGGTCCACGTGGACTTTCCTGTGGTCAGCAGAGTGGAATATACAGACCAGCCCGGCTTTGCTCCTATGCCCTACCCTGGGTTGAAGTTTGATGAGTCAGGCCAGTGGACAACACACTGAACTGTCCCCTTTCCTGATTTACTGCTCGAGAGTAAAGCAGTAAAGCAGGAGAGCCTGGATGGCAGCAGGCCACAGCCATGTTCCCCCGCAGAGCTTATTACAGCA